ATAGGTTCAATGTCCTATCAATTTCACTACTATTTAAACAGTCCATGGCTAAACTTTTCAAGGCTGTACTTATTGAAATTACCTTCGGGAAAACCCGGTAGTTGAACAAACAACAATTCGACTAAAGCGATACTTTACGTGATGGGATTATATGTATGAGCTACTGAATGGACGGGGTAACGCAAAATTGGCATTTCATGTCAATCCTGTTAAAATCGTTTTTCACCATAAGTTATAAATTTCACGAACTGGTAGGCCAACACTCACCAGCAACCGGTGTGATGTTTGTCAGATTGGAGAATATATCTTCCAACTCTTCGTATTTCCCACGTGTGTGTTTTGACTGAGGATTTTCACCGGATGAGGACAAACTGATGGATGGTTTGACTGTCGAGTCCATCGCCGAATTCGTGTCTGATAGGTCCAGCTGAAAAAGATCATCTGAGAGCAGATCAGTCCCGGTAGCCAAGACTTGGTTCTTGTTTGCACGGCTGTCCGATGTTGTCGACAGGGTAGGACTGGTTAGGTCTAGATTCGGAGGATGGGAACCGGTGGTGGAAGAGGAGTTGTTCTGAGGGGCAGAGATGCCGGATTTCGTAACCTTGTCTGCGTAAAACTCCAGCGCGCTGGTAGCCTGCTCACAGATTCGAGCGATTTCAGCTGCATTCGGGACAGGTTACGACACACGATGAGCAATTAGAGAAGATAGAAACGGGTTCAGTACGATGCAAAGGAACGAAAAGGTAGCCGAAGCATGAGTAAAGTAATGCTTGAGTGGTAATCAGTTGCACAAGGGTTCGAGGCGCTTCGACAAAGAAAAGGTCTAGTGGTACTGAAAATACTACTTTGTCCAATACTTCCAAGAATTTGCACAAAAATGACTCAACTTCAAGTAAGAGTACAGGGTCTAAAAATGGGTTATCGGTAGGCTAAGGTAGAAATAAATAACGTTGCGGTACTTTCCAAAACAAGAGTCTATTTAGGAAATGAAGTAAACAACTGTCGGAGTCGGAAAAATGGTTTACAATGTATCCATGATTATTCCGCTGCACCTGTGCTTGTGCGTAATGCATTCAAGGTGATTTTTATAGTCGGTGAAATAACAACCGTAAGACGAAGACAGGATTGCTAATTACAACGCACAACGCGAGAATCGGTCAAGCCACCGAATGGCCAAACATCCCAGTGTGGCTAAAGAAAGCAACGGAAGATAAGTTTCAAATCATTACGTCATCGACTGGGCAGAAAAGACTCATACCTTTGATTGCGCAGCACCTATCTGGAAGGAAACACTGTGTCACTCCACCCCGCTCATTTCAGGTCAGTTAAAACACAACACAAAGTTACTGCAGTTTTAGATTTTAATTATTCACACTTACCAACTCGATAGGTGTGAACAAGAATAGTTCGTCACATTAGCTTTGCTTTGATGACTGACCCCCGACCCTTCTTTTTTGTGTCGCCCGCTGTGAATAACCAAACTTCGTCAACTTTGGATCTAGTACTGACAAATGAAGAATTGATGGTCGAATCAATTGCAATCGCAACTCCGTTGGGGCGCAGCGATCATGCTGTGTTATTGTTCGAATACATCTGCTATGCATCAGTAATGACAACTTCTT